TCATAAGAATATTCATCATGATAAAATTGGGTAATAGGTAATGGTGAGAAATAATAATGAAAGGATGATGTTCATCAGTGATAGTTAGTTCATAAATGAAAATGATAATGTAAGCTTTTGTGAAAGAGGAACCTAATTAGGGCCACCCGTGAGGCGGGAGACTTCAGGCTCAGGGGCCGAGGGAAATGAGGGGCCCGCTCGTTCCCCGAACAGGGGCTGAGGGGACCAAGGGAAATGAGGGGCCCGCTCGTTCCCCGAAGAGGGCTGAGGGACAAGGGAAATGAGGGGCCCGCTCGTTCCCCGAAGAGGGGCTGAGGGGACCAAGGGAAATGAGGGGGCCCGCTCGTTCCCCGAAGAGGGGCTGAGGGGACCAAGGGAAATGAGGGGCCCGCTCGTTCCCCGAAGAGGGGCTGAGGGGACCAAGGGAAATGAGGGGCCCGCTCGTTCCCCGAGGGCTGAGGGGACCAAGGGAAATGAGGGGCCCGCTCGTTCCCCGAAGAGGGGCTGAGGGGACCAAGGGAAATGAGGGGCCCGCTCGTTCCCCGAACAGGGGCTGAGGGGATCAAGCTGAGGGCTCGGAACCAACACGACCTCGCAAGCAAAACTGTCCCCGAAGATGTAGGTCTACCAGGAGCGTGACCAATATGAAGATGAAACATGAAAAAAAAAAAAAAATCCTAAAAGGAACAAACATAAGGTGCAGAAGGCACCAAAATAAACGTAAATGGAAGTGCCAGAAGGGCTTAAGAATGACTAAAAATACGCCAGAAGGGCCCAGAAACAGTAAAACCTGCCAGAATGGCTTAAGAATTACTTTTGAAAATATGACCGAAGGGCATAAAAAAAACTGACAATACGTAAATACGTAAAATAAAAAAGAAGAGAAAAGAAAAGAGGTAGAGGTAAGGAGACATGAAAAAGTAAATGAAAATGTGATAAAAAGTGAGACGTAAAAAAAAAAAAAAAAAATGGAGTAAAAGAGGAGTAAAAAGAGTAAAACGTGAATAAAAGAAGCGAGTGAAAGGACAAGAGAAAGACAAGCCAAATACGGAGTAAGTAAAAAGTAGAGGCAAAAAGAGCATACACGGATCAAAGTAAAATATAAAGTAAAAAATAAAGTCGCACGTCCAGCATGAATACACTTAGGCAAGTAAGAGGAGCAGTGCAACCTTGTTTCAGCGTCCACGATGTGAATCCAGTCAGGTATTCCAAAGGGTGAAGTCAGAGCACAGTCAAAGAATCCACTTCGTTTATTGTATAGAAACAAGGGGGTTAACTTAGTTCGTACGGACGAAGGCATAGCGGATAAAAACAATAAAATAATAAATAGGAAACATCATCATAAAAGAAAATATGCATAGGATAAAAGAGGTAAAAGCAATAAAGCATTAAGGGAAATCAATATGAAAATTATAATTGGTATAGAAAATACGCAAAAGAAAATGTACATAAAATAAAGCATTAAATGAAATAATTTTAAAAAAATCGTATTTAGCAATAAAAATACGATAAAAACACTCTTCTGCGATTCAATAATGAAAATACTAAAATCAGTAGTTTTCTTTGAGGTAAAAGAGAGATTAGAAATAATTAACAAGTAAAAAGAAACCACTGAAAAGTAAAAGAGATAAGGTTAAAGATAGAAGGTAAGGCAAACGGGGAAAAGGAATGGGAAGGGAGGAATGAGCGTAGTAAAGAGGGAAGCGAAGAAAGGGAGGAGCAAGAAGAGGTGCGAATAAGAAGGGTACGAGGGGAAAAGCGGCAGGATAGGAATAGGATAGAGGCAGGATAGGTTGGAGATAAAGATAAAAGGCAGAACAAGCAGGAGAAAGAAGTAAAAGAGGGGAGTGAAAAAACCAGGGGACAAGAGGGTGTGAATAAGAGGAGAGGGATATGAGAATAGGGGAAAGGAGGTCGATAGGTAATGGGTAACCTCTTGTGTGTGTGGGGTGGGGGGTGGGGGGGGAGATAATCTTACAATAAACAGACGCCGATGATGATAATATCGATAGTAATGGTTATAAATATTATTCAGGCTACTAATAGCGATAATGATAATAGTTAAAGTGAAATTATGACACCGAAAATGAAATAAACGACAAAAAGCTGAAAAGGAACTGCCCTCACTTTCTCACTGCTTTAGTTTCTTGCTGTTTATCTTTTGTTCCTTTTCTACTAGCTATTATTTCTCTTGTTCCCCACATCGGTCTCCTTTATTCCTTTAATCTCGCTCTCCCCTTCTTTCTCCTTTCTCTTTCTTTTAGCATGCCCCTCCCTTATTCCCCAACCTTCTTTCACTTTCACTCTCATTCCCTCACTCTGGTGACTGGACAAGTGGACAAGACTTAGAAGCTAATAACTGTCGTTCGTTTTCTAACAGCTGACTCGATTTCTCACTTCATCACCTTCATCTGATATCTTTATCTCGTTCTTTCCCTCTTGTTCTTCTCTTCCTTTATCTCCCCCCCTTCCTTTCTGTTGCTTCTTCCGTCGACCTCATCCTTTCCACCCTTCCACTTTTCTTAATGCTGAATCGTTATCATTTCCTCACTTGCTGTGTGAGGAAATGATACAGATTTTAGGGAAAAACAGTCTATTCCTTTACACTGCATTAAATCTTATCTTTCCGCCTCCCACACTGCCTGCCCCCCTCTACCCTTGTCCTCCTACCCCATTCCCTCACCTTCCTCTCCCTGACATTCCTCCTTCCCTGCCCTTGGGTCGTCGGCCTTTTCGCACTATGGACGAAGGGGTAAAATTGCAACGAAAGGAGAGCAAGCAGAAAGCACCTGCCGAATAGCAATAGAAAGCGAGCCAGAGAGCCTGTCTCAAGACAAAGTCATCGAGACCGAGGAGTGTGCATAGTGGGGTCAGTTACACGAAGTGAAAGCATGATGCTGAATGCTCTCACATAATCATGACTGCGTTGAGATACATCATTACGAGCTCAAGTTTATGACGTTTTTAAGTACTGTTAATTCTTGTAATGGAGTGATAATCAACAACATTTACACATCCCAAAGAATGCATATGTATGAACTTTACTTATGAGAAAGATAATCTATGCAATCATGTCATATTTACTAAAGATATATCACCGAGGATAAAGGGAGGACAAGAAATTAAATGCGTTTCCTCCAGGAAACTTCAGCGCAGCTCATCCGAGTCCTGAGTCCATAGACACTTGAAATGGGCTCACACGAGCAGAAGTACCCTCACAAAAACACACTTTGACCATAGAATTCCTGTATGGCCAGAAATATACACATACGCACACATTCATTCGTATACAGACGCAAACATAAACACATTCGCCATGATGCAGAAACATTTACTCATAAGCATTAATACACAAGCAAGCAAAATTAAACAATTTTCATCTATTCACGCGGACGTATTACAGGCCCAGAGAGACGCTTTTTATTATTGGCTCGGTTATATATACATATAAATGCGTGTTTTTAGTATGTATGTGTTTGTGCACGTGCATGCATGCAGAATGAATTATACCACACACATATACAAACATGCACACATGTAAGAGTACATATATATGAATGTGTGCGTGTCCACGCACACACACATATATTTATATGTGTTTATGTATGCGTGCGTGTGTACAGATACAGATACACACATAGAAAGACACACACACACACACACACACACACACACACACACACACACACACACACACACACACAC